GAAAGATCACATATAATCAACTTAATGTCACACCTGAAGAAAGTTTTTTATCAAAGAATAAACTAAACCCAAAATAGTAGAAGGAAGGAAATAATGAAGATCAGACAAGAAATACATGAACTAGGGGCTGGGGATTTAGCTCAGTGGTTCCGCCACCTGCCTCACAAGCGCAAGGTCCTGAGTTTGATTCCCGGTACCAAAAAAAAAAAAAAAAAATGACAAGAAAGAAATACATGAACCAGAATCTAAAGAGATTCAAAAGATCAATGAAACAGAGTTGTTTAAAAGATACAACTGTCAAACCTTTCATCAGACTAAGAAAAAAGAGGAAGATTCAAAATCAGAAATGAAAAAGGACACATTAAAATGGATACCACAGAAATACAAAGGGTAATAAGATGATTATTAATAAATGTACACCAACAAATCTGGACATCTAGAAGAAATAAATAAATTCCTAGAGATAACTTACCAAGATTGAACCATGAAGATATGAGATAATCTAAATATACCAATAACAACTGAGGAAACTGAATAATAAAATAATAATAAAATGTCTCCTATCAAAAGCCTAAGACCTGAAGGCTTCACTGCCAAATGCTGCCAAGCATTTAAAGGACTAACAGTATTGAAGGACTAATACTTCTTAAGCTATTCCAGAAAATTAAAGAGGAGAGAATTCCTCTGAACTCATTCTACAAATCAGAATTATCAAGGTGCCAAGACAAAACAAGGACATAACATAATTTTTAAAAAAACAGACTACAGGCCAGTATTCCCAATGAACATAGATGCCAAACTCCTCAACAAAATATTAGTAAATCAAATTCAACAGCAAAGATGGTACACCATGATCAAATGAGATTCATCCCAGCTATGCAGGGACAGTTGGACCTATGCAAATCAATAAACATGATACATCATATCAACAGATTGAAGGATTAGAAATCATGATTTCCATATGCAGAAAAGGCACATAATTTAATGCAACATGACTTCATGGTATAAATGCCAAAAACATTAAGTATAGAATCCCTCTACCTAAACACAATAAAGACAGATGTGACATAACCACAGCTAACAGATGGAAGAGGGAAATGCTGGGAGCTTTCCCTTTAAATCTGGAACAAGGATACACATTTTCACTACTTCTATTCAACATAGTAGAGACATCCCACCAGCACAATTAGGCAAGAGAAAGAAATAAAAAGCATCAAATTGGAAACAAATGCATTAAAGTGTCCCTGTTTGTGGATTACATGATTTTAGAATGAGAAAACCCTAAACACTCCACCAAAAAACTGTTAAAATTTAAAAAGCTTCAGTAAAGTTGCAAGATTCAAAACCAACATACAAAAATCAGTAGCATTTCTATATGCTAATAGTGAACTAAATGAAATAGTAACCAAGAAAACCATTTGCTGAAAAAAAAAAAAAACACCTAGAATGAATTTAACTAGGAAGTGAAAGATTCCTGCACCAAAACTAAAACTTTCGGGCTGGAGATTTAGCTCAGTGGTTCTGCCTCCTGCCTCACAAGCGCAAGGTCCCGAGTTTAATCCCTGGTACCAAAAAAAACCTCAAAAAAACACCAAATCAGCATGGTACTGGCATAAAAACAGACATATAGTCCAATGGAAAGGAATAGAAAACACAGAAATAAATCTACACACTTAGAGCCATCTGATATTCAACAAAGCTGCCCAGAACACATAACAAAGAAAGGCCATTTCCTTCTGTAAGTGGTGCTGGGAAAACCGGATAACCACATTGACAAGTATAAAATTATACTCTTCTCACTGTAAATGAAGATGAACTAAATGGGTTAAAAATTTATCTCTAAATTGGCCAAAAGGTTTCTGCATAGCAAGACACAATCAACAGTGTTAAGCGACAACCTACAGAATGGGAAAATATATCTGCAAACTGTACATCTACTAAGGGATTAATACCCAACACATACAGGAAACTGAAACAATTCAATAGCAAATAATGGCCCAAAATAAGCCAATTTAAAAATGAGCCAAATTTTCAAAAGAAAACATATAAATCACCAACATATCAATGAAAAACTGCTAGTATCACTAGTCATCAAGGAAATACCAATAAAAACCACAATCAGATACTACCTCATGCCTGTTAGAATAGCTATTAGTAAAACCATAAGATAGGCTGGGAATGTAGCTTAGTGGTGCAGTGAGTCCACAAGGCCCTGGCTTGATTCCCAGCACTGAAAAAAGACCAAAAATTTAAAAATACCGAGTATTGATGAAGAGAGAGAGAAGAGGGAACCCTTACACACTATTGGTGGGGTTATTATGGAAAATCGCCTAGAGTTTCCTCAAAAAATTAAAAATAGAGCTATCATATGATCCAGCATTTCCACTACTGGGCATAAATCCAAAGGAAAGGAATCAAAATGTTGAAAAGACATCTGCACTCCCATGTTTATTGCACAGTCACTATTCACAATAGCCAAGATATAAAATTGACCTGTCTACTAAGAGATGAATGAATAAAGAAAATCTGGTACATATACACCATAGAGTACTATTCAACTGTGAAAAAAAAAAGTGTATTACTATCATTTGTGACAACACACAAATCTGGAGGACATTATATTAAGCAAAATAAGCAAGACACAGAAAGACAAATACAACATCTTACTTCTATGTAGAATCTAAAAAAGTTGGTCTCATAGAACCTGAGAGGCTAGGGAAGGAAGTGTGGGGAAAAGATGGTGTCTTAGTTACTTTCTTGGTGCTGGGACAAAATATTTGACACCAACAAGTTAAAGGAGGAGAGGTTTATTTTGGCTCATAGTTTGTAGAGGCTCATAGTCCATAGTTGGCTTGGTCCAAGGTAGGGCAGCATGGCAGAGGGGCATGCAGGAGGAGAAACAGTCCATAGCATGGTAGCAGGAAGCAGAGAGGCTTTCCAGGCCATGCCCCAGGCCATGCCCCAGGCCATGCCCCCAGTGACCCACCTCTTCCAACGAGGCTTCACCTCCCAAAAGCCCCACCTTTGAGTGCATGAGGCTTTGAGGGGACATCAAGGTATAAAGCATAACAAATTCTCAGTAGGTACAGTGTTAGAGTTAGATGGGAAGAACCAGTTCTGGTGTTCCTTGTACACTTGTGTGACTACAGTTAGCCACAATGTATTGTATATTCCAAAACAGAAGAGTTTGGATGTTCTCACCACAAAGACGGAGATGGATGTGCTAATTGCCCTGATTTGCTCATTAGAGAGTGGATCCATGTGTAAATGAAACATCATTTTGTACTCCACAATATCTCAATCAAAATAAAACTTTTTTTATAAAGTGTTTAAAGTGATAGGACATCAGGGTGATGTTTCTTTATTACTTTTTCATGTTTTCTGAATATTTCACAAGGAGTTTGTTTTATAGCCATACAAAGCATTGCTTAGAGCTGGGTTCCTTTCATTTCGATATTATTGTTCATGCTTTCGCATGGGAGTGGGGTGGGCTAGTAGTGGGTTAATATCGGAAAGGAGAAAGGGGAGAGGAGAGAGTTCAATTCCACCAGTATTTATTGAGCATCTGCTCTGTGCAGGCACTGTGTAAGGTGCTGACTGTCAGGGGAGTAATATCTCAAAGTGTTGCTGGGCAGAGAAGGCAAGGGTATATACAGTATGTTCAAAGGCCTGGAGTATGGAACTGCAGGCACGCAGGAAAGAGCAAGAGAGGAATGGACGTGGCTGAGAGGCAGGCAGGCTAGAAATGACCCCAAGCGACCCTGTCCACTGTACCAAGGCGTTTGGAGCGCCTTCTGATCGTGTGTTATTGGGTGTCTTATGTTCTTTACAATTTGATCACCTGTGTAGTTTCTTGGATCCGCTACACCAGAAGGATCCCTCACTCCGCCTCTCATAACCACACCTCTGTCCTCCCCTCCCTCCATTGCCCACAGATCCAGCTCTGATTCAGTGTGTGGGAGGGGGGGAGAAGTGGCTCCACCTCTGGGGTCACTCATGGTCCGGGGAACAGCCAAAGGCCCGAGAGGAGATGTCTTGGAAGCCCGCAGATTTATTTACAGGAGAGGAAGGGTGAAGGAGAGATCTGGGGATCACAACCTGCTCCTGACAGTGGGGAGGGCTCATGTAGGAGGAAGGGGCGCAGGAGAAGACCCTGGGACTCGGAACCAAGGAGGGTTAAAGTCATGGTGTTCGCCCCAGGAGTTGACTGCCCCCTCCTGCTGGGTGTGCCTACAGGGCACAAACCCAGCTGCTCCCACCTGGCACAGCCTTGTCCTTGCTTGAGGGGCCCAGGGGCTCCTCAGTGACCCCCGAACCAGGCCCCGATACTCACCCTGGCTGGGTCTTGCTCGGTCCCTTCAGGGCAGGGCCGGTTAACCTGCGCCCTCACCCGGGGTCAAGGTCACAGGATCCAAAGCGTTTAATTTACAAGAGAGAAAACTGGTCCTCAGAAGGGAGAAGAGTGGCTTGTGGCGGCGACCGCAGATGTGCTCTGCGGGCAGAAAGACGGCTGCTGGTTTCAGGTTCAGAATCTGTTTCCACCTACAGGAGAGGGAAAGTGGAGCCTATGCGAGATGAATGAAAGTTTCCGAACCCTTTATTTCTTCCATTTTTATTAAGCTTTTATTACGTGCCGGGAGGGCTCGGGTTTTCCGTTGAACAGTTGGATTCGGCACGGGCCACAATGCTGGTAAAAGGGGACATCCAAGAGTTAAATTCGGGGGCACGGCGGGGGAGAGGCAGAGGAGATTCCCGGAGGAAAAGCGCACCCCTCAATGCGCCCCAGCGGCTTCTCAGCCTCCGGAAACCCGGGCGCGAAGACCCAATGGGGGCGGCCATCCCCGCAGAGCCCCCTCCGGCCAGGGAGTGGCCGGGCTCGGATTACAACAAAGGGGGCTGGAGGCCGGGCCTGCCGAGGGGGCGGCCTTCGGGAAAGGGGGTGGGTCCGGGGAGGGGTTTGCTGCCCGCTCCCGTTAAAGAGCAAACCCGAGACTGCAGCGCGCCACTTCCCAAACTTGGGCTCCCTGCGCCTAGCGGTCGGAGGAGTCGGCGTGGCCCCTTGGCTCGGGAAAGGGGTGCCGCGGGGACGGGCGCGGAGAGGGGCCACCGTGGAGAGCCCAGTCCCGGCCCGGCCACAGCGGACCCAGCGACCAAGTAAGAGCGCGCCCCGCGCCACCAGTCCCCCGCGGGTCGGGGGAAAGCGGGAGCGTCGCCCCGGGATCTCGGCCTTGCTCGGGATGCTGGGGCCCGGGCGGCGGCGCAGAGCAAGGGCTTCGTGCTGGAGCGCTGCGGGACGCGCGGGGTCACCGTGCCCTCCAACGCGGCGGCCCCGCCCGGCCCAGCCCGGCCGCGGCGGGGGGGCGCTGCGACCGGGGAGCGGGGCCGGCGGATCCTCAGCGCGCACGGGGTGCGTGGAGGGTGCCGCGCGATGCCGGGACGCCGAGGACCGTGCGGTGGCCGCGGTTGTGGCTTTTCAGACGTGGAGCGCGGGGCAGGGGACGTCCTGGAGCCGTGGGTTTGGGGATGTGGACGCGCTGGGCCGAGACGGCTGCGACCCTCCAGTGCGCACAGCCAGGCACTGGGTTTTCTTGCCAGGCGGCTGCAATGGCTCGGCTGCGCGCCAGAGCTCCCCGAGCCCCGCGGGAGGAGAGGCGCGGTCCGCGCGCCAAGTATTCCTTCACCCCCGATCGCCCTGGCTCGTCCGGGGCACAGGACCGTCCTCCGGTAATCGCCCGGAGCGTGCGGAGTAGGAAAGAACACGCACCAGCGAACCCAGGGGTCGTGCGTTCAAGACAGCCTCTGCTAGAGCGAACCCCAGGCTAGGCAGTTAGTCCCGGGGTCCCAGTACCTCCAACTTTCACGCATGCGCTCTCCCCACTGCGCCCCCTTCCTCCCAAGCCCAAATCTAGGAAGGGCAGCCCTCGGGTGTAGCTATCTGCTCGAGGTGTCGCTGTAGCCAGCGTTGGAATAGAAATGGTCAGAAGAGATGAGAAAGGTTCCTCCCTTTCCATCACTTCTCCACCCGACCCCGGCACCCCAAATCGGAGAGAGCTGGGGGCAGGTGCGCAGCAGAACAGGGCTGGGGCCGCGGACTGAGTTACTCAGTGTGGTTCGAAGTCCTCGAGTCCTGATGGGAGGAGAGATACAGCACGGGACAGTCAGAGATATACCCCGAATTAGTTTTATCTCCTAAAATCTCGGAACTGTGGAAGCCTTAAAACAGCCCAGTCCTTGACGTTTCGCAAAGGAGGAAACTTGAACCCTGGTCAGTGCGGGGAACTGAATCCATATCCCTTGCTCCAGAGCCCTCCCTCACCGGCCACGACCTTGTCTGTCCTGGAGATCCCGAAGCCCATTTGTCATCTTTGGGGAATCGCTCTTTATTTATGGCAGCTTGGGTGCTAAATGACCAGGGATGAGGCCTAGAAAGGACAGAGTTCATTCCCCAGGTGAGCTCCCACAGGAGGGCCTGACTCACTGAACCCCTCCTAGAATATATTTTTGATCTCCTTCACTCCTTTGCCCTTTACCCTTATGGCCCCTCCTCCTGGAGTGACCCATCAAACCCATGGCAAAGTATATGCATCTTGTGGGTCCCTGGTGTCTGTCAGAGCTCTCCCCAAGATCAAGACAAGTCTCTTTCCTCTCTCTCTCGCTCTCTCTCTCTCTCTCTCTCTCTCTCTCTCTGTGCATTTCCTTGTCTTCATGAGACTCTGTGTTAAAAAGTGACTTGGGTTAAGGTCACTTGGCCATTCATTGGCAAAGCTGAATGTAAGACTCACGTCTGAAGACAAAGCACACATCTGTGTTACTTGTTGCCTGACGTTTTGATGCTTTCCAGACCAGAGATCCTGCAAGGACAGGACACTTCCATTTATTTATCTCCTTCCCAGCACGGCTCCTTGCCTGGCCTCTCCTGGCCTCTCCCAAGCCCTCACCCTCTGACCTCTGAATGACCAATTTGGCAGGGCCTTGTGAAGGAAGCAGATTTTCTCTGCTCTGGATGTAATAATGGTCAGTGAAGCTGATTAATGTCCCGGAAAATTGTGCATTGTTTATTTAGATTTTGATTCTGAAAAATTTCAAATATGCATTAGAAAACAGGGTATAATGAATCCCCACGTACTTCTCAGCCAGCCTCAACATTAACCAACATTTCACCACACTTACATCGTCTGTGCCTTTTCTTTTTCTTTTTTCATTGAAATATTTTAAGACAAATCCATGACATCATGCCGTTTCATCCCCACGTAGTTCAGTGTGATCTCTGAAGGTATTTAGTTACATAACTACCATGCCGTTTTACACCTAAGAAAATGACAAAAATTCTTTGGTATCACTTATTACTCAGTCTATGTTAAAAACTTCTCCCAGTCTTCCCCGCAAAGTGTTCTTTTTATAGTTGATCTGAGTTCTGTGGATTATATGTTATGCCAACTATGTTATTCCTTTCAAACCACTTTGCTATCCACTATATCATTTGATTCTTACAATGTCCCACTAACAAGTGAGGCGGGTATTGTTAAATTCATTTTATGCCACTGAAACTTGAAAAGAGGGTGGTTTTCCAGATGGCACAGGATGGCACAGCTGGTGGCGATAGAAGCCAGCATCCTCCTGTCCCACACACCCCTGGACATTGGGACTTCTAGTGCTTGCTGCTCTGGGATAGCAGCAGCTTGCTACGGACTTCACTTTAGCTTGGGCTCCATCCTGAGCAGAATCCTTGCATAACCATTTAGTAATCGACTGTTTGTTGCTTGAGATAAAAGAGCCTCAAAGCCAGGAAGCCTGGGGATTTGTTTCCCAGCTTAGTGTAAAACTGTAGGAAAGCAACTTGCCTCCCAAGGGCTGCAGGCTGGAGAATATTATCCTTTTGAGTTCCCTGGTTTCTCCATCTTGAAGTAAGATGTGAGAAGTGACTGCAGCTGGGATTCCTAGAAGAAACAAAGTCCCCAGGAGGAAATCTGGTGGGGAACAAATCACCCCTCTTTGACCGTCACCTGGATATTTTGGCAGCTGGCATCTTCATGCAGATGCCCCTGACCCCAGTGACAGGGAAGGACCGGAAGTATAAATTTCCCCTGAAGTCTTTAGTTATGGACAGCTTTGTTTATTCTGCCATTGTCTGGTGAGGATCTACAACAGCAGAGCATTTTGCTTTTAGCATTTTTTTTCCATTAAGTTCATCATTGGGAATCTGTACTTGTACATAATATATCTAGGTTCTTGTTTTTCCCATTCCACTTCCCTCCTTTCCACCCCTCCCTATTTACAGAATGCTTTTAACATTTTTATTGGTTGTGTTTATTTGCTTCTGCAATGGGGTGAGAAGAAGACATTTTTATGTCATATTAATAAGGCTCATAAGTTGGAGCCCCCCTTCCTTGGCAGGCAATGCGGGGAAAAGGATTTTGTTCCTGGACTCCTACATTATCTGTTGCTGTATTTGTTGCACATACATATGCCAGAGAAAGAACAGATTTTCCACAATACAGTCAGGGGCAGATAAGTTGGCTGATGCAACTCATTGCCCAACCGGGGGACCTCAAAAGGGGCAGGACCTTCAGCTTAGACCACACTGTTTTCTGACACCCTCAATTCCCTTCTGCCTTAGCTAAGAGGCTGTCTCCACTGGGGCAGACTGTCAAGGTGGGTCCACATCAGCAGCTGCACCAGCGAGAGCATGATTGCTTCTTTGTTTTACAATTTTGGAACCCTTGGGGAAGTATGTTCCCTATTCCTGGGGGCTTTGTGGCTTAAGAAGAGCAGCTTGTCATTACCATTGTTCATTTCCTTCTAGAGAAAAGCTTTTGTGGTCAGTATGCCTGGCAGTCATACTCTGATGGGCCATGAGGTCTCAGATGAAGTGGCTGCAGCCCACCCTGCTCTAAGGCCACAAGAAACAGCAAGGGTAGCAGCTATAGGCTAGAAAACAGGTTCAGTGGCTGTCCACAGAGATGAAGCAGCAGGTGCATCTCTTTATGGTCTTTATGGTCTTTTAGGTTGGAGCCCCACCATCCTAGTTCTCCTGCAGATGCACTCCCAGCCTCGAGCGCAGTATGTGCTCAGCAGGGGAGACAACCTGGCCAGGTGTGTTCTCTGGCCTCCCACACAGTGCATGAGAGAAGCCTCTAGGTACCAGAACCACCTTTTCGGATTAGCCACTTGTTTCAGGATGATACAGCCCAGTGGTGATAGTTTGTATAAGGTACCTGTCCAGAGTTCTAAAAAGTATTTTGCATTTTCCTTGGAAGAAACAATGTTACCAGGAAAGTTATGTTTGGGAAATAAGGATGTTGAAGCAAGGACAGTTTTAGGCAGCTCATGAGGATGTGGTTAACATCACAGCTGATCACAAGTTCTCAACCAAGGCTCTTGGATCCCTTTAGGATTTTATTGAGTTACAGGTAGTCCCCTGTGGATTTGCAAATTCAACCAACTGCAGATCGAAAACCACATTTTATTCTGAAAATTTCCCAAAAGCACAATTTCAGTTTGCCCTGCGCTGAGTACTATGTGGGATCCATGTAAATGAAGTGATGTGTGGGCATTGTATTAGGTATTATTGTTCATCTAGACATAGATGATTTAAAGTTTATAGGTGCGTGTGTGTAAGCACTGTGCAAATACTGTGCCGTTTTATACAGGGAAGTGAGCATCCGAAGCTTTTGGTGTTCAAGGGAGGTCCTGGAACTCATCCCCACAGATACCAAGGACACTGTATGTTATGTCCAGATGGCAGTGTGTTCTCTCTTTAGCTTTTTTCTTTGCTAGGATTCACACCAGACAGGCACATTCAGCTGCTCCGTGGATGACCTGGGCAACAGCGACCTTTTGTTCTCCTAGATGACTTGCCAACAGAGAGTTAAGAGTATCTTCTGCAGAAGCAATGCGATGTGTCTACACAATGTGCACAGTATGGGAAGGTGGCATATCAGTGAACAGCCTAATGCTGTGAACAACTGAATTTGCAACTTTTTTTTTTTTTTGGCAGTGCTAGGATCTGAACGGAATCTCAAGGCCTTGGTACTGAGCTACATCCCCTGCTCTTTGTTGTTGTTGTTGTTTGTTTGTTTGTTTTTGTTTTGTTCTGTTGTTTGAGATAGGGTCTTCCCAAGTTGCCCAGGCTGAGCTCCATCTTGCATTTCTTC